TCGTTTCAAATAAACCATCAAGATTTGTGATCTATACATTCCTCAATCATTATTTGTATATGAATTTATTGATAAAAATTATTGGATTCAATGTATTAAATATTTCAAAAATTTTATCAATATGTGCATATTGAGTTTGAACTGATCAATTGACTAACCATATTAATGGATTGGTATAGTAGCACACAGTGCTAATCGATCTTGCCCTAGCGGCTAGGTTGAGTTGGCCCAATAATTTTTAGAAACATTTATAATTGATAAAATATTGGGATTTTTTTATATTATTGTAGACAACTCTTTAACTTGTAATCATCACCAAATGTTTAATTATGTACTACATAGTTCCCTTTCTTTGTTAATTATTTGTTTTATTACTAGTCTGTAACTAGAGAATGCCATTCATGTGATACATAACTATCGATAATGACTACTAAGAGTGTGTGATTTATATTCCATTTTGAAGGGTCTTTTGATAAGATCTTTAATGATGGACTTGTTCTATACAAGGGGGGGAAATTGAAGGTGACTAAGTACCATCGAAGTAATTTCTTTGAACAATTGAAAACTCATTTTGGGAACTTGATGTATCACATAGCAACAAAGGTGACTATTATGTATCACAAAGTAATCATAGCTAGTGGATGTGGATTGAAAGAAATATGTAACCTAGATGTATTGTATATGTTGGAAGAAGAGTCTTCTGACATTGTTCTATATATCGGATCTGGGCTAAAGTTTGAGCTATATTCAATGGAATTTCAACCAACACAACCTCATGGTGAAGGTTCATCTATGAGGAGTAGGTGTCTGTACTTTTAACAAACTTTGAGTTTTAGTTTGCTTGAATCGTTCATATTCATAAATGTTTATTACATTCATAATTTAATTGTATATGAGACTTTGCCTTTTGTTGGTAGTCGTTTCAATGCACTAGTACCTGACCACATTGATGGTAACGAAGTTATGGCCATCCAAATTGTGGCCGAGCTTGTACCAGAATGTGATATGAAGGACATTAAACCATTGGAAAGCCCATATATAGGAGATGGTAAAGAGGTTGTCCCGCAAATAGGCCAATATTTTGATAATGTAAATGATTATTGTCATCGTTTGGTTAATTTTGAGGTATACAATAACTTTGTTTTGATGTTTGTTACAAGTGAAGAGGGGCAGGTTTGGGCAAAGTGTAAGACAGATAGGTGTATATGGCAAATACGGTGCTTAAGAGTGGGTAATATGACTTACTTCAAAGTGAAATCCATGATAAATGAACATATATATAACAATCTAATAAGAAAGGTTCACCAACCACTTGCTCTAAGTGAATGGATGGCAGAAAAGAGTAGAGATCATGTACACAACCAACCCAATATTACACCAAATGATATTTTAACGATGTACATTGCATCATACTTTTCTACATAAAAACATGACTGGGCAAAGAGGTTGCTAAGAAAATGGTAGATGGGTCACATGATAAGCAATACAAAGACCTTCCTTTACATTGTAAAAAGCTTCAAGCCACAAACCCCCTAACTGAAAAACACATCCACACAAGCCGAATAGGTAGGTTTAAATGCTTCTTTATTGTCTTTCGTCCTTGTATCATGGGTTTTGTCAATGTATGTATGCCATTAATGGCTCTTGATTGGACATTCTTGAGAGGCAAATATTTAGGGATCTTGTTAGGTGTAATTGTTGTAGATGCTGATGTTGACATCTTCCTAATAGCTTTTGCTATTGTCGAGAATGAGAACTATCTTAGTTGGCATTGGTTATTACGTATATTAAATGAAATGTTTCAAGAGCATGCCAATATGCTTGCCCTGACTATTATATTAAACCGACTGAAAGGACTGGAGAAAGCAATCACATATTTATTTCCTACTTGTTACTCAACATATTGCATGAAGTATTTAACAAAAAATTTCAAAAAGTTTATGAAGAAGTCAGCAAACACAAATGCATTGACAATACTATTTTGGAAGGCTGCTCATAAATCAACGATACTAGATTTTCGATACAGTAATGTTTCAGATAAAGACTGTTGATCTATATGCAAATGAGTGGAGAAGGCAATATGATTTGAAATACTGGGCCGATGCCCATTTCCCTAGGGCTAGGTACAACATCGAACATAGCCGAGTCATTGAATAGGTGGATTTTATGTACTTAGAAGAAGCCAATCATAACATTGTATGAATACATGAGAGTACAGTCGATGAGCAGGTTTGAAGAGAAAATGTAGAAAGTTGTTGGTTGGATTGGTGTCCTAGTACTATATGCAGAGGAGACTATAAATGTATGGACGAATAAAGTAAGATTCCAACACCATGTCATATTTGAAATGTAAACATAAAAAAACCAGTAGCCTCAATGCTTCTGGACACATCAAAAAACCAGTGGCCTTTTTCAACATACGAAAACTTACACTTTTCGAATATTCAAGCTAGTGGTTCGTAATCTGAAGCACAAAACACTTATTTTTAAATATTTATATTTGAGAAATATTTAATCTCAAAACACTTAATTTCATAGTTCTAAAAATCTAAGTTATCCTTTTGTTCAACATAGTTCTAAGATCGATGATTTTAACTAATCGAAAATAGTTTTCAAGGCATGTTCAACATAATTTGTTTCAAGCTACAACATTAAGATAAGGACACGATTAACATGCGGGCCAAGCTCGCACATGTAGAAATGCAGGTCCTTAACAAATCTTTTTTTGAGATGGATTTTTTGACCTAATTTTTAAGGATATGTAATCTCTAACATGGAGATCATGAATATTAAAAATAAATAATTTTTAAAAACTAGAAATAATAATTCTATTAAAAAAACATTTGGACAGTTAGTTTCAATTGTTTTTAGATGGACCACATATTTGTATCCATCTTTAAGATCGATGCTTTATACTTTGGACCGCATGTAGAAATGCGGTCCGCCCCGCATGAAACACATATACTTAAGATAATTGTATATCATGCCAAGATAATTTCGAATAATAGAATTCATTTCACTGTAAAGGTCAATAAATGACAACAAGTACATATTAACAATATTTCTCATAAGTCAAACTGACAAATAGATTTGGTCAACCCCAAATCAAATCTAAACATACATATTAACCTCAAACCACTACAATGAGCAACCATCCCAAACCCAAACCCTCAACCAAATACTCATCACCTGTGTTTGGGCTTGTACTGCTTTAGCTAAATCTAGGTTCTTGAGGTTATACCGATGTGGGTATAGGCTAGAGGAAGGCACAACTCTTCACCAACCTCTCTAGATTCACGTAACTTCCTCTAATACAGTACCATCATCTTTAACGAATGTCTCCAACATTTAAAGAGAAATAAAGCATCAACTTTAATGTAGAAGTAAGGCTCACCTTAGAAATCCCTCAGTAAAGGTTGTTCTGATGTTCAAGATGTATGTATATGAATAAAAATAATGAAATTCAAACACTAAAACGTTGCATTTTGAAACATATAATCTGGACCGTCCATTTTCAAGATTTTGGAATGTCTACAAGTCTGCTCAATTCACACCATTTTTCAAGCTTAAAATTTCAAAATAAGGATAAATATATTTTGGGCCATTGTAAAGATTTTGGCATAAAAATTATGTGTTTTGCCAAATTTGGAGGTATGCCTTACTTTGCTTCAAATTGACGCCTTATGCAAACTGCACCCAATTTTAAATGATAAATACCTTGAAAATTTTTTACACAGTTTGTGCAAAGTCTCCACTTTGCCATCCACATGCTCTATTTTTGGAAGACATATTTGATAATTGGAAGGTCCATCTCTATAACCTGGAAAATTCCAAGTACCACTTATTTGTTTGACAACATTAAAGAGGAATACGAAATTGGCTCTACGGAGTTTCGGTTCACGTAGAAATGAGAACCTTCAACTTCCATCCCTACTTGAAAGTTCACTTATCATGTTTGTTACGAAACTCACTACTCACTGTCTTTTTCACTCTTATCATGTTTGTTAGGAAACTCACTACTCACCCTCTTTTTCACTCTATATGTTTGTTATCTCTCTTTAACTTTCGCTAATTCTATCTCTCTCTAACAATGACCTTTGTATCTTTATCCTCTCTCTGAACATATCTTTCTGGCCTCTAACTCCACTCTCTTTAACATATCTTTCTGGCCTCTAACTCCAGTCTCTTTCTAATTGTGCCCTCTCCTTAAACATGTCATTTTTCTATGTACCTTTTACTGTACGAGTAAAGTGCATTTAAAAAACCGACCAGAGAAGGTTGTCCTTATGTTTTGAAACTCTCAAATCGATAATCTCAACCTCGAGATTCATAGACATGGAAAAAACAAGATTTATAGTCCTTAAAATGGTCAATATTTTAACACATTATCTGAATCATTCATTTTAAAGATTTTTTAAGTGTTTATAAATTTGTTTGATCATCACCATTTTTCAAACTTGTAAATTTTATAATTAGAGCAACAATAGATTTTCATACCACTCTCTTTCTAATTGTGCCCTCTCCTTAAACATGTCATTTTTCTATGTACCTTTTACTGTACGAGTAAGGTGCATCTAAAAAACCGACCGGAGAAGGTTGTCCTTATGTTTTGAAACTCTCAAATCGATAATCTCAACCTCGAGATTTAGAGACATGGAAAAAACAAAATTTCTAGTCTTTAAAGTGATTAATCTTTTAACACATTATCTCTGAAGCATTCATTTTTAAGATTTTTCAAGTGTTTATAGATTTGTTTGATCATCACCATTTTTCAAACTTTAAATTTTATAATTAAGGCAATAATAGATTTTCATACAACTGGGAGGCACCTAAACTGGATATTCAACATAGTTTTGAGTTGCACCTTACTTCAATAGTATTCAATACTATATAAATTTGACACCTTATACAAACCTCACCCAAATTTCAAAAGCCTTAAAAAAAAAAAAGAATATGCGGTAATTTAACAAAACAACTATCCCCTGCTTATGGTTTTTCACTTCTGTGTTCAAACTCGGGTTCCAAAGCTTTGCTCCTATAATAAATACTCGTAGGGGTACACAGATTGACACACTGCGCAAGCACGAGAAATGCGCAGGAAAAGATACTTCAAAAACATAAGCAACTAAAGGGCTCTGCTTCTTCGCTCCAAATTCTCCCTCCTTAATTCCACTTTATTAGGGTAAATTTACAGTTATTTTCTACTCTAAATCCCTTGAATTTCTCCATAAAGTTGCATTTTAATGGTCGCATTTCCATTTTCTAATCCCATTTTTCTCAGAAATGAGTGGCATTTAAGACTTTGCACAGATAGGCCTTGTTTTCTGCCTCATGTGAGCCCTGACACTGCATTTTTGGTTTTGGATCGCAGGGGTGAGGGTTGAATGGACCAGTAAGCTTTGTTCAGGCTATTGAGTCTTCGGGTTTTGGGTTTTTGTGTTTCTCGTTGACTGGGTAATGGCTTCACAGAGAGTCCTCATCTACTTAGCAGTACTTTTGGTGATCTTTTGCTTGCGTTTTTCGATTTGTGAACCCACATTTTGAGTCCTTGAGTCTCTCTCTCTGGAGTGTGTTAATCACTGTTTCGTCTCTCTCTCTCTCTATCGGGCTTTCTCTCTTTCTCTGATGATCTCTTGCTTTTGTTAGTCATTTCACGAAATCACATTTTTGGTCTAGTATTTCTTCAGTGTTGTTTCCCATCTCTCATTCTTCTCTCTATCTCTCTGTGATGATCTCTCGCAGTTGTAAGTCATTTCACGATATCTCATTCTGAGTGTATGAATCTTTGTTTCCACATACTTCTTTCTGTATTTCTTTCTGCTCTGCTCTTTTGTTCTGTCTATCTAGAGATATATCCATCTATTATCGTTTTGATAATCTTCTCATGTTCGTTCACATTTGGACAGTGTGACTCTATGCAGTATGAGAAGGTTGAGAAGATCGGAGAAGGGACTTATGGAGTGGTTTATAAGGCTCGCGATCGTGTGACCAATGAGACTATCGCGCTAAAAAAGATCAGACTTGAGCAGGAGGATGAGGGCGTTCCTAGCACAGCAATCAGAGAGATATCTCTCCTGAAGGAAATGCAGCATGGAAATATAGTGAGGTTTGCCACTTTCTCTCTCTAGTTTTATAACTTTTTTTGCTTTCTCTGCAGTGCTTCTTTTGCCTTACTCCGTGGTTTTGTTGAGCATTTTGTTGGTTAAATATAACGATTTTGCAGTTATTCTGTGTATTTTGCCTTGCGTCTATGGTGTTTCACAATTTCAGGAATGATTTGCTTATTTTCTGTAATGTTTTGGCCTTTTAGCTGTTTAGGTCAGTGGAGATTTATCTGACATGAGTGTTTATTCTGTAATTTTCTGCTTTTTATCTGTACTTTCTGAGTATTTTGTGCATTCTCTGCTGATGTCTGATATTTGTTGGATGTGAGTTTTTACTCTATCATTTTCTCAGTAATTTTAGAAGTACGAGTTCAATTTCTTTATTTCATGTTCTTAGCTAATTTCCATGGTGGAAATCTGTTTGATGTGAGTGTTGGTTCTATGAAATGTTGTTTCTTGCTTTGTATGTGTTCTTGCTTATTTTCTGTAATGCTTTTGTGAAATTAGACATTTTTGAAGGTAGAAATATGTTTAGCTTGAGTATTAACACTGTAATGTTTTGGCTATCCTATGTATTTTTATGTATATTTCTTATTCTCTGTAATGTTTTTAAGGTACTAGCTCTTTATGTTGGTGGAAATCTGTTTATTTATTAGGTGGCTTTCTTTCATTTTCAGTAAGTTTATTTATTAATCTTTCCTCATTTTTCTTGGAAAAGGGACTGAGTGAAATTTCTTGATTGTATTACATTTTCATCTGAGTACTTACTCTAAATTGTTTGGCTTTTTAGATTAGAAGTTGTGGGTTTCTGTTATTTTGAATTGGTATTATGCTGGGGTACTAGTTCATCATCAATTTATTTTTATTGATTTTGTGCCATCAGATTGCAAGATGTAGTGCACAGTGAGAAGCGATTATATCTGGTTTTTGAGTATCTGGATCTGGACTTGAAAAAGCATATGGATTCTTCTCCGGATTTTTCCAAGGATCTACGCGTAATAAAAGTAGGTGAGATCTTTCCTTCCTCTAGAGATGTGCATGTGTTTTATACCATCAAGTTCCTTGTAATCAAACACAGACTGGCTGTAATTGAATGACTCTTCTTGGACTAACTTTTGAACGTCTAAGACATGGGAGCTTATTTATTCGTTCTGGTGGCTTGACAGACTTATGTTGAGTTTCTGGAGAAATTTGGCTGAATGAAGAATTTGGACTTCTTGTTATTTTTCCTAGGTCTTAAATCTTAGCTATAAGCCTTTGATATTGAAATTACCTTTTCTATGGTCATGTTGACTATTCTAAACCCAATAATGAATAAGAAAAAGAAAAAACGGAAACCTATTTAAAATCCATTTAAGTGAATTGAGTTTTGGCACACAACATGTCTACATAAACTTGTTCCTTATCTCAATGACTCTTGTATTTCCCTATCGTTGTATACTTGCAACGGATGCAAAGTTGCTGGTTTCAAATTTGTTCAAAAGTTTTTCTCTTGCTGGCCCCAGGGTCACTTGCAATATGCTATGTCTTGCTGATGTGTGAAATCGTTGTTTTGTTGGATACTGTTCTTGACCTAGAGTTGGTGATGATTCCTATTATTTCCTCATCCGTTCAAGCAGGACAGTGTTCATTTTGATCTGGAAGAAGTCTACCTCTCGTGTCCTACCGTTTCCGTTAGATTTGATAATGCTTGACTAAAAAGTGATAGCAATGAGCTTTGTGTTTTTAATACCTTGTGGATTCATTCTTTAGTTTGGACAGGGAACACTTTGTTTTGGGGTTTTGAGAATCTCATCTGGCTTGAGACTTTAGGGAGGTAGATTATACATTCCTAGTTTACCAGAAAATATGGGGTAATGATGACAAGGGTACTGTAATAAGAGAAAGAAACATGGTTCATGAAGGAACTTTTTGCTCTCTGATATCCCTAATTCCTTAACCTCTTTAAGCTTTATAAGTATGTTTAATCAATCAACATGAAGAAGCCAATCAATCACTAAGTTACATGTGTTTGGCTTTTTCTAACAATGAGAGTACAGAACTCCCTGACCTGGAATTTTTTTTTTTTTACACAAGTGAATTCCTCCCAGGCTTTGCCTAACCCTAGAGAGGACTACCATTGCAACTGTAAACTCCAGTTCTCGTGAATCAGTCCAGAAGAAATATTAACTTATACACTTTAAATTTCTCAAAATAGGACATAACACTGTTCATTACCTGTTGCTGTAACGTGTGAGTTTGATATTATTTTGGAGGAGGGAGGTCACAGTTCAACATAGGATCCAAAAGAATCTTGCATATTTGCAAAATTCTTCCATATGAAAACGTTAGATGAGTTTGACACTATATCTAAGGTTTGAAGGGAATCCAAAAGAGGGGTTTCATGTTATGCATCCTTGAGAGACCCATGCATAAGACCCACATGCATCTTACATGATTTTGACTCCGTAACTCTTTCATTTACACACATGCGGGAAAGAGTTGTATCATGTGAATAAGAGCTGCACTACGCAGCACATAACATCAGGGAATACAGTAATTATTACCAGATGTTTCTTCACATTCTGAGTTTATGCTTTACCAGTTTTATGGAGCTCCTTGTGTCAATCCTTTTGGGGGGGCTTGAGTCCAATGGTCACCTAGGTAAATAATCCTCAATATGAGGTTGTTCTCCTTTATGTACCTCTTTCTTTTTAAGTAATTTATAGTTCATAAAATGAAAACATTGCAGTGATGCATTGTTAACAGCATTCCTGTACTGCACGTGGTAAACAAGCTACTTTGGTCATCCAATTCTTAATTTGGGTTGAAACAAGTTCAGCAAAATTAGCTCCAACGTCTGACTTTACTCAAATATGAATACCAAAGACTTTAAATTGGAAAAATGAAAGGGACTTTTAAGTTCTTTATAATAAAAAACTTGTTCAGTATTCTCCATCTTTAGCAACTCCAAATTTGATTAATGGTGGTCGATTTGGCCATTCAGGATTTCAATGAACCACCCATTTGTTTTCTGATATCCAAATTTTGCATGGCAATATGGACCATTTAAGCTCACCTAGTTGGGCCACTCACAGTTTTGCACCATGTGAGTAGATTATTAAAAGCTTTAGTGGCTGACCCATTATTTCATCAAAACCTCCGCAGATCTTTTCTTGTTCATGTAACCATGAAGTTGGAAATTGCAGTTGTCTCTAGTTTAATGTTGGATTACATGTTTGGCGTATATCAGCCTATTATTTGGTCTAGATGTCCATGATCTGGGCTTATGTTGTTGAGCATATTGTGGGAAATAATTAACTATTGTTGTATTTGATGGGGATAAAGTTTTTTTTGTTTTGTTTAGGATTTTGTGTGCTATCTCATTAAGAAAGGGCAGTATTGTAAGTAGGTCAACATATTGAGATAAATAAGAGGTGTGTGCTGGTCTTTCTTGACCAACACATCACTCTGCTTTTTCTTGCTCTTTCTCTTCTCTTCCCTCTCCCTCTCTCTCACATCTCTTTTCACTCTTTTCTTCTCTTTCTTTTTCTCTTTTTCTCTCTTACTACCTATTGACATCTTATTTATACTTCTCTCATTTTTCTTCTTTAATTTGCCCTTGACTATTTTGAACTTGGTATCAAAGCCAAGTTAAAGTGTCGAAGAAAAGGTGTATGGGGATATGGTTTAGGGCTGTCATTATCGTAAGACTAGATGACATCAACATTGGATGGTTAGGGCTTTTCATCATGCTTTGAACGAGTTTTTCCCAGCAATGATTGTGTTGATCAAGGTAAGTTCTTTTGTGATTTCTTGATGTGGATCATGTGTTTGAGACAAATTCTGAATCATGGATGATTAGGTTTGTGTACCCCAATCAAGAAAACATTGGTAGCACTGTTTTTTAATGTTTTTTAGAATAGAAAAGAGGTGTGATCAGATCCGAGGGTGTAACTAGATCTGTAATATCTTTTTTCTGAAAGAGATATGAGGGTATAACTTAATCTCAACTGTTAATTAGATTTGAGGGTGTCACAAGAACTCAACTACAATAGAAGATGTCTCAACAAACATCAAATATGGAGCATTTTCGACTCCAAATTACCACTGTTAAATTTGATGGAACAAATGATTTAGAATGGGCCTGGTTCGTTAGAGTATTTATAGTGGAAAGAAAAAATTGGGATATATTGAAGGTCGTGTAGAAAAACCAGATCTCAAGATGCAAATTGGGAGGCTGATGGTATGGGATTTGTGGATTGGTTATTGTATTCTATGCAGCCTAATCTAAGTCGAACTTTCATGAATTGTAATACCTTTAAGGAATTGCCGGATGCCATTTCTGAGGCTTATTGCCAAACTAAAAATATTGCAAAGATTTACGATTTGGAACAACAAATCAGTAATTTTAAACAAGGGATCTTATAAGTGGAAGATTATTATGATTGTCTTCATGGTTTTTGGGATGAAATAAGCCATTATGCCATACAATACTCATCTTGTGCAAAGGAACAAAGGGAAAGATTAGAACAAAGGAAGACTTTTTTGATCTTTTGAGACGAGTTAATGAGGAATATGAATCAATTAGTGTAAATGTTTTAGAATCTAGGTGGTGAACTTTACAATTACTTGGTTCTGTTTTCTCTCTTCTTCAACATGAGAAAACTCGTTGCAAGATAATGGCATTGTCTATAAACAAAACAGACAAATCTGCTCTACTCTCAAGTTCAAGTGGTAGTCGAGGTGGAGGACATTTTGGGAGTCAGGGTGGATACCGGGGTAGTGGATGCGGTCTAGAAGCCCCACATTTGACGACAAGGACAATGCACCCATTGTGGGAAGACTCGCCACATGAGGGATACATGTTAGGATTTGGTTGGATGCCCTGGACATAACTTTTCTCGAGCAAATTCAGCAACAATTTGTGAAGGGGCTGCTCCTGCCATGCATGGGGAGCAAGATGCTATTTACTTTGAACCTTAAGAAGAGTTGGTGACCATTCCTAAGAGGGCACCTTGATCTCAAGCAACAAGCTTTCGTTTGAGACCCTCCTTCCTCTAAGTATATCTACATTGGCTCATCATGGCTCCATAAATTCATCTAAAACCCCTTAGATTATTGACCTTGGAGCTGCTGAACATATTGATATGGCTTTTTCTACTTATATTCCTTGTTTTAATTAAGAATTTGTTAAAATAACAGATGGTTCTCTTATTCCGATCAAGGGAAAGGGAACATATCTGTTACTACTCTTGTTAACTTGTCCTCCACCTTGCATGTCTCCAATCTTTCTAGTAACCTTCTGTCAGTTAGTAATCCCACAAAGACTTTAAACTGTAGTGTAACCTTTTTTCCCTCCTATTTTGTCTTCCAGGGCTTGATGATGGGGAAGACATTTAGGTGCAGTCGTGATGATGGGGGGTTGTACCTTTTGGAGACTCCAGATCGAGCCTTGGGTATTGCAGCCGCGTCTTCTGTTGCTAATCAAGGGTGTATTTGTGGCATACCTGTCTAGGTCATGGTCTCCTTTTCTGTTCCGTTCTTTACTTCTTGAAGTGTTTGAGTAACTAAGTCAAGTGTAATTTTAGTGTGACATATGTGAGTTGTCAAAATATCGTCGAACGTTATTTCCAATCAACCTTAATAAAAAGAGTGGTATTCCTTTCTCTGCTAGACACTCTAATGTGTGGAGTCCTTCTCCAGTTGCCTCTATGCTTGTTTTCATTTATTTGTTGTATTTGTGGATGATTGTTCTAGATTAACAACTATTTATCTAACGAAACACAAAGATGAAGTTGCTAATCTATTTCGAGTTTATCATAAAATGGTTAAAACTCAATATAATGTGCAAATTAAACTCTTACATTCTGACAGTAGGGGTGAGTATATGTCAAACCACCTCAGAGATTACCTTATTGTCCAAGGGATTGAGTAGCAAGCAATGTGTCCGTACACACCTCAACAAAATGGTACTGCTGAGAGTAAAAATAAATACTTGTTGGAAGTCACTTGAGATCTCTTGCTAGGAATGAAGGTCTTCAAAATTTTCTGGTGTAAAGCAGTTCCTCGGCTGCCTGTTTTTCTGGTGTAAATCAGTTCCTCGGCTGCCTGTTTAATAAATCGCTTGCACGCTTGTGTTCTTGAGGGCAAATCTCCTATTGAGATTATTTATCTTGAATCTCTATCTCTTGGAGTTTTTGGTTGTGTATGTTTTGTCCACGTCCTTGGTCCAAAGAGGGACAAGCTTGACGTTAAAGCTGCCATATGTGTTTTTATGGGATATCCATCTCATCAAAAGGGATTCAAATATTATGATCTTATTGACAAAATCTGCTATGTCTCCATGGACGTTACTTTATTTGAATCTAATAACCACTTCTCATTCACTAGTCATGAGCTCTCTCTTCAAGAGGAGAATAAGATACATTTTAGTGAAGAGAGCACATAAGTGGTTCCCCTTCCTGTTTGCATACCATTTTTATTTGAAGAGAATGGTGGACACCCTAAAAAGGATTTGAAGATGTATATCAAGAGAAAGAAGATGGTAAAACCTAAAGTTCTAAACGAACCCTGGATGCTAAAACAGAATCAAGAACTGTTCCTGACAGTAATTCTTTCACCTTCTTAGAGAGTCCTATTCTGGACTTAGCCTTTGCTCTATGCAAGGGTAAGTGTTATTGCACTCAGCATTCTATAAGGAACTTAACTTTGTATCCTATAATTCATTGTCTCTTGTTATCGTGCCTTCATATCCGCTTTGTCCTTTGTTTGAATACCTTGCTGTGTTGTAGAGGCACTTTCACAACCTCAATGGAAGGCTGTCAAGGGTGATGAGATGTGAGCACGTAAGCAAAATAATACATGGGAAATCACCACCATTCCTAAAGGGAAGGAGGTGTTGCAAAAGGCTTCATTCAGACTCCTGGCATAGACTACCAAGCTTTTGCTCTTGTGGCCAAGTTGAACATTGTGAGGATCATTCTTTCTCTAGTTGCTGACTAAAATCTTGGCCTCTCCACCAGCTAAATGTAAAGAATGTATTCTTCTGTGGAGATATCCAAGAAGAAACCTATATGGCAATGTCTCTAGGTTTTTTGATAAGGGGGAGATAGGAAAGGTGTGCAAGTTAAAGAAGGTGATATATGGACTCAAACAATCTCCTAGAGCGTGGTTTGAAAAATTCAGTAAGGCACTGCTGAAATTTGGGTTTAAAAGAAGTCAGGCTGATCATACATTCTTTGTAAAGAAGAATAGGGCTGGGATTACAACCTTTATAATATATGTTGATGATATTGTTGTGACATGGGACAATGTGAAGGACATTGAGGATCTTAAATCATATCTAAGCAAGGTATTCAATATCTAAGATTTAAGCCTCTTAAGGTTTTTTGGGAATTGAAGTGGCAAGATCAAAGAAAGGGATAGCCATCTCCTAGAGAAAACATGTGCTGGACCTATTACAACAAATTGGGATGTTGGGATCTAGACCAGCTGATACTCCTATAGAAATCAGTCATAAACTTCATGGAGAAAGGGGAGAGTTACTTGAAGATCCTAACCAACATAAGCAAATAGTGGGCAAGCTTATATACCTCATGATCACATGACCAAACATCTCTGATGTGGTGACTATGGGCAACCAATTTATGCATGCACCACGTAAACCACATCTTGATGCATTATATTGAAAATTGAGATATCTCAGGTCTGCTTTAGGGAGGGATTTTTTCTCCAATCAAGGGCATTATGATGTTATTTGGGCTGGGTGCCAAGTTGATAGGATATCCATAACTAGCTATTGCACCTTTGTTTTAGGTAGTTTGGTTTCTTGGAAAAGCAAGAAACAAAATGTAGTGGCAAGCTATTTAAGCTTCCCATGATTTTGTATTGTGACAATGAAGTTGCCATTCATATCTTTGAGAATCTTGTATTTCATGAAAAGTCTAAATGTGTTGAAGTAGATTGTCACTTCATTAGAGAGAAGGTTGCTGCAAAGATCATTCTTTCTCCTCATGTAGTCTAAAGATCAACTTGCAGATATCTTCATTAAAGCTATTGGACGGGATAGACTACAAGATATCACAAGCAAGCTGAGCATGATTTATATATATGCACCTGCTTGAGGGTGAGTGTTGGAAATAATCAAATATTATTTTATTTGGTGGGTATAAATGTTTTTTTTTATTTTGTTTATCAAAAAAAAAAAATTTTTTTATTTTGTTTTGGGCTAATATGTCCTATTTGATTAAGAAAGGGCAGTATTGTAATTAGATCAACATATTAATATAAATAAGAGGTGTGTCTTGGTCTTTCTTGAGCAACACACCACTCTCATTTGCCTTTCTCGACCAACACACTACTCTCCTTTCTTTTGCTCTTTCTCTTCTTTTCCCTCTCTCTCTCACGTCTCTTCTTCTCTTTCTTCTTTCGTCTTTGAGATCTCTCTCTCTCTCTTTGTCTATCTTACTACTCTCTAGCATCTTACTTTTACTTCTCTCTTTTTCTCTTCTTTAATTTGCCCTAGATTATTTTCAACTCCTATTTCACTTTTCTTTGTTACCTGTCCAAAGAAAGAGTATATTGCCTTCATGCCCTAAAGTCATTATTTTTTTGCAAACGAATGTGTGGTAGAAAATGGGGTATTCATATTCGAATTTGAATGTGTTTTCTACTTTTTTCTGAACATGGAATACTAGGAAAAGGTAATATTCCCACTCATATTCTTCTTATCCTTGTAAAAGACGGTTGCAAAATGCTGATTGATACTTTGAAAAAGGATATGAGAATTGTTTTTAACCGTGAGAATTGTTTTATTTACAACTACCACTAATGGTTTGGGATACCCTCTCATGGAAGCACACACACTCGGTATACCTTTGATTTTGTGTATACCAAATGGTTGGAAACCATGAGTGATAGCTATAAATAAAACAACTATCGCGGTAAAGATTTTGGATGACTGTCTATTGTGTTATCTATGTTGATGCTTTTTGTGTATGTTCTCTCTAGATGTTTTTGTATCAGATTCTTCGTGGGATTGCATACTGCCATTCTCATAGGGTTCTTCACCGTGATCTAAAACCTCAAAATTTGCTAATAGATCGTAGTACCAATGCATTGAAGCTTGCAGACTTTGGATTGGCTAGAGCAATTGGTATTCCAGTCCGGACGTTTACTCATGAGGTTTTGTGGTGTTTGACTTTTGTTTCCTCCATCGTTTTCTATTGACTATTCTTATATCTCTTTCTTGAAGCCTTGTCTTAACATGGTGAGCTTCTTCCAGGTGGTAACACTGTGGTACAGGGCCCCTGAGATTCTCCTTGGTTCACGGCATTACTCAACCCCTGTTGATGTATGGTCAGTGGGGTGTATCTTTGCTGAGATGGTAAATCAGCGTCCATTGTTTCCTGGTGACTCGGAGATTGATGAACTGTTTAAGATATTCAGGTGGGCTGATAAGTGAGATGAGTATGCTTATTCTTGACAGTTAATTTTTCTGAGATTTATTGATATCCAAATATTTTTGTGGAAAAGCTATTTAACTCTTAAACACTGTTTCAGTTAAACCTGATATAACCCTTCTTTTGTGTAATCAATAAATAAAATAAGTTATTATAGATATTTGTCGCTTTTGTTGCTTCCTCTTGCTATCATCTTTAGATTATATCCAAGGCACCAACTTCTGAACTGAGTGATACAATCTCTAAATATTACATCTTCTTCTCTTTGATATTTTTACTGGGGTGCCTCTAATCTTATCATAGAAATTGCTAACCAACCCTTGTAGTGCTTCATTCTTTTGAGTACAATGACTTGTTTTCCTTACATAAAGGAATTAAGTCTTGTCTGGATGTCTTCTTATGGTCTTCTGTCAGTCCTTTTCCAAAATATGGAGCAATACCTGTACTATCAAATTTCTGTCATGTGAAGAGTAAAAGTAAGAGGATGACATGATGAAAATGTTGATTTACTTGTTTGGTTTCGGAATTTCGAATACCTTCATGATATCAATGTTTAAAAACTTGGGTTCTAGACCCTTGACTTGTAGAATTGGGTCTTGACTTGCTCATTCCTTTTTTTGTCAATAATATGTGTGTGTGTGTGTGTGTGTCTTTTGACTAGCTCATTCTTTTTTTTGTCGAAGTATGCGTTTTTGTGTGTGTGGTGCAGGGGTGCACGCAAACGAGTGTGCATGCATGTGTGTACATGCATGTGTGTGCGTGCGTGTGTGTGTGTGCACGTGCTTTTTCCTGTGTGTTAGTGCGTGTGCATGTGTATGTGTTATCTCAGGGCATAAAGAGGGGCCCTTATCTAAAATCTATTATCGTGTGTCATTTTCCTTTTTTATATCTACTGTGTAGTTTGTCTTCATGAAATCAAATTATTGAATAGTTATATTAACCCAAGTTGCCTGTCCCTCTTCGTTTTACCCTATCCATTTTGATGAAGGATCCTAGGCACTCCAAACGAAGAAACTTGGCCAGGTGTGAATTCTTTGCCAGACTTCAAGTCATCCTTTCCAAAGTGGCCCCCGAAGGTACAGATGTCGCCTTGTAGTTTGTTGCTGAAAATTTATAATCTGTTTTTCTTTTTCAGAATCTATCTCAAAGAGTTATTCTTCATTTACTGTACGTATTTTGTACAGGGCCTTGCAAGTGTTGTTCCAAATCTTGAACCAACGGGGATCGATCTTCTTTCGGTAAGTTTACCTTCCTGACTGTTTTTGTAGCTCTTGATAACATCACCTTGGAAACTAAACCTTATGTGTTGAATTAGAAGATGAAATGGTTAGTAAATGATTCATACACCTATGGTTTAAATGTTTTGCAATGCCATAATCCAGCATGCTAATGACTTTTTGTTTTACAATACAAAGATTCCTTGTTCGCCTTTTCCAAATAATTTGTTTGACTTCCTCTTGGATGTTGCTTGGTTTTATTGTAGTTTTTTTTGCCAGTTAAAATGCAGCTATAAATAGTTTTGACATGGTGTGTACTACCAGTATCTATTTTTTTTGAAGTTGATTTATATATTATTTAAAAAGCAAATGCAACAATTTCCTGTTTGTGGTATTGGCAGTTGCTTTTATGGTTTGCTATAATATCTAGCTGTTCATCTTTTGTTTAAATGCTCAAAGAATGGGCATGTAACATGCATATTGCAGATGCCTAGGCATGCTCGTAGACAACATTACAAGAATAAATTTTCCAAGTATTTTTTACATCATCCAAAATACAGTTTACTCCACAGAATCAATGACATTATTTTCATGAGTGAGATAAGTGCATATGTTTGTTAGCTAGAGAGGGAAATGTGTGTTCTTTTTGACCTGATGTAGTGTTTGTGCTAGAAAATGCTGTACTTGGAACCAAGTAGAAGGATCACAGCTCGGAGTGCCCTTGAGCATGAATACTTCAAGGATGTGGAATTTGTGCCTTGACTGCCTTTTTCGTGTATATAGTTTGGTTCAAACAAGATGGACAGTGGTGTGGGTTTGAAATCTGTAAAAGTTGGTTATGTGGAACCCATGTGAGTGATTGTTTTTCTTCTTTTTGTGTCAAGGTTTTGCTTTTGTGGTGTGTTATTGGATCAAATTCTAGAACGATGATTGGGTTTGCCTTGATTTTTAATGTTTACGACAAGTATTCTTTCACGCCTGTAGCTTAACTTTTATGTCTTGCCTGGTTTTGCATTTGTTTCATGCTTCATAACTCCTGTTTCTAGGATATGAGAAACCCCTGTTATATGCACTCACCAGAATGGGAAAAGAAGGAAAAAATAGTATGATATACTAGGTTCCATAATGGACTGAGAGCCACCAGACTTAAGTAACTGCTTTGACTCTAAACCAAAGTATTCATTTCCCTTCCACGTTTCTTTTGCTCTGGAAGAGAAAAATGAGCAATAATGTACTATCCTCGAAGCAATCAACACAAAAAAATCTTTACTCTATCTTGTTCGTGATCTCAGTTCTTGTATCACCAACTGATCTAGAAACAAAATCCCTCTCGAGTCATTTTATCGTTTACCATGTTCGTATTTTCATATCTTTAGTCTGTGTGTGTGGAAAAAGATTATAAGCCAACGGACTTTTACTGTAGCGTAAACCACTTCAAAGACTAGCGATCTGTTGGAACCCAATTTTGCATACAGGTAGATCTCATTTAGTGACCAAAATATATATAAAAAAAGAATTCATACAAAAAGGGGAAAATGAGTCCATCATTCTCCATGAGTGCAGGCTGTCCATTTGGCGGATGGTGAATCTGAGCCTCCAATATCTCAAAATTAATACGAAAATGTTTGTTTTTCAAACCAAAGATGTCGGGCAAAATTTCTGCCCAAAAGAATCTTCTATTGATGCATTTTGGATCTCGGCCTGCACTGTAGCTATAAATCATTGGCTTCTAGAAGTTATTTCCTATACACACACATATTTTTATTTTTTTATCGTTTGTTTTACAGACAATTGATAATCCTTAATAGGTTTATGTAGTGTTATTGCTGAGAAAAGGACTTAATTCAGTGAGGGATATGGTATAGAGTTATGAAGTTGCTTTTCCAAGTGGATACTCTTATGGGAATCCTAGCGGAGGCTCTTGTTGTGAAAAATAGGAGGGTAGCAAAAAGTTTTGACATAGAGAAACGTGAACAATTTCGTTTAACAATTAGATAATGAGTGGATGAAAAGAAATTGCAGCAGCAATATAGATGTCTCTTTTGATGGAACAGGTTTATGAAGCCTATTTCCTTGGTGTTTAATGAAATGGACTCCTTATGGCATGTGATAGAACACGAGGGAGGCGTTTGGGAAGTGAAAATGGTTTAAGAGTTGAGGTAGTGGCACTTACAAAAGGAGTAGTGGACATAGAAAGGAATGCGTCTATTGGCAGAAGTTAAACTGTTTACAAAGTGCTATGGGGAGGTGGAAAGGATGAAATCTCTTTTATGATAAATTTTATTAGAATACAGGGCATGAGGTTTTCAGACTGTAGGAAGCCTATGAAGAAGGGTGATTGTGAATTCAGTGGAAAGATGAATGTGGACATTTGAAGAATGAAGTGGGATTTGAATTTTTGAACTATGTAATGGTGGAAAAACTGGCTTAAATCATTTGGAGTGTTTTTTGCCCTCGCAAGAATCACTGGATGAGGCCAATTGAGATGTTGGGGGTTGAAACTGATGTAGAGAGCTTTAGAACAAAGAACAATATTAGGTATGGGGGAAATCTACGAATCTAAATAACCGTGGAATTGATAGTAATAGATGTATAAAGAGTAAGGGGATAAAGCAGTGTGTTCAAAAGCAACATTACCAAGTGGAGAAAGTATGAAGTTGCAAAAATTGAACATTGGATGGAACATTGACTTCAATTAAATTTACATGACTTCAATTAAATTTACATGGAGCTATTTCTCGGGGAAAAAAATAACATGAAGATTGGCGGCTGTTGGATAATTTGAGTGCACTAAATGAAAGAAGCCCCTAGGGATGTACATAATTTTGAGTTTATGTGGATAAGTTTGAGGCCCATTTTTAGTTTTGACTTTGTTTAGTTTAAATACCATAGCTTAAGGAGCATGGTGAAAAAGTGGTTGATGTTCTTTGAAGTGGAAGGAAGGGCTATTTTTTTTTGGGGTAAGTTGAAGGAAGGGCTAATTTAGACTGTTAGCAACTTGCTTTAGTACAAAGCGATAGTCTAGGAGAACCATCAGAAGTCAACAAACAAACAAAAACCTAAGCTATGGGAGTAGATTAAGGGGTTTTGTGGAAGCATTGTCATCAAGTATTACTATGTATTTGAGGAGGTATGAATCTTAGATAGAATAGAAGAGTATGGTCACTTGGAGGATTGAGATTGAGGAAGGTGAATGATATAGTTTACCCATAAGTTTGGCTGAAAGATGCTTGCGATCTTATCATATAAGAGAGGTTATGCCATGCCTTGTTTGTGCTAGAATCCTTTCCGGAAGTTCGCCAAGTCCTGGCTTGCACTTGCATGGCCATGAGTTGAAAGATTCAGGATATGGATAAGATTGTATAGCTACAACTTATATAACCTGAATTTGGAAAAAGGCCATACTTTCTTGATTTCATGATAACCACGTTGTGATTTGGTGGGGTGTGCTTACTCTCATAGGTTAGAGATGGACCTGATGTTCTACTGCACGTTTTTTACACCTTTGTCGGTGGGGCTCCAAGAGGATTAAGCTGTTATGGGGGATCTGAGACGAGATTATCCTTTCTTCTCACTCTGCTTTTTAGTCCTATAGTATCCTTATAGTTGGTTCCTTCTGCTGAGACAGTTTTGGGTTGTGCTACCAAATTAGGTTGCCTTGCATTGGAGTGAGCTTTCAATTCTCTATTTCTAGTAGGTGCTTTGAACAAGTGTTAAAGCTGATGATTAATCTTAGTAAATAACCGAAAAGCTTCGACACTTGAAGGAAGTTTATTATGTAGTTTAATTTATGGTTAATTAGGTGTTGAGTTGTGCTGCCAAATTAGGTGACCTTGCATTGGAGTGAGCTTTCAATTCTCTATTTCTAGTAGGTGCTTTGAACAAGCGTTAAAGCTGATGATTAA